TTCTCATGCCCCCCACAAAAACATTATGAATGGAATGTTCTTCCATTCGGATTAAAACAAGCACCAACAATATATCAACAATTCATGGATAGAAATCTCCGTGGATTAGAAGAATATTGTCTAGCATACATTGATGATATCATAATATTTACAAACGGATCACAATCAGAACACACTGAAAAATTAATCACTGTTCTAGAACGATGCAAAGAAAAAGGATTAATTATTTCTAAAAAGAAATCAAAATTGGTACAACAAGAAATTGAGTATCTTGGATTAAAAATAAATAATAACGGAGAAATTGAACTAACAAATAATGTACATGAAAAAATACAACATTTTCCTAATGAATTGACAGATAGAAAACAAATACAAAGGTTCCTTGGGTGTCTTAATTATATTTCCGAACAGGGATTTCTCAAATCCCTATCAAAGGAACGAAAACAATTACAAAAGAAAATATCAGACAAAGTACCATGGTTTTGGACTAATCAAGATACAAATTTAGTAAAACATATAAAAGAAAATATAAAGATACTACCAAAGTTATACAATCCAACGACCAAATACTTTCTGATTATTGAAACAGATGCATCCAAAGATGTTTGGGCAGGATGCATGTTAGCAATAAAAGATGGAAAAGAATTACTCCATCTTGACCAATACGGTCGTACCAATAATAATGAAGTACCAAAAACCGAAAAACAAAATACAATACTATGCAAATATATTTCAGGAACATTTTCAAAAACTGAGATGAATTATCCAATTCATGAGCTCGAAACACTTGCTTGTCTTCGAACTCTAAAGAAATGGAAAATTGATTTATTACAAACACGGTTCGAATTAAGAACTGATTCACAATACGTAACAGGATTCTGGAGATATAAAATTCAACCAGAATTTCAAAAAGGACGATTAATTCGATGGCAATTAGAATTACATCAATTTGAACCATATATTAAATATATTAAGTCCGCAAATAATTGTTTTGCAGACACTCTAACAAGAGAATGGAAGGAATAATCAAGACAATCCAGAACCAGATCAGTCAAAAAGATAACCAGATCAAAATGATTCAGGAAAATCTCTCAAAACTCTTTGAGGAGAGGGA